GTACTGGACCATTTCTTACAAGGAAGGCTACAGGAAAAATCAGGAGCTGATCAACTCCCAATAAATGATCATCACCTAGGTCTCTCTGGAAAAATCATAGAATCTACTTGGGGTCACTTCTCCCTTTTGTCAGATGACAATACTGAATTTCAAGATCCATAAGGCCACCGTGAACTCTCAAGTTAAGTTATCCTAAAGTGTGCCAGCTTTGTAGTTTTAGAAGGAGATTTAAACTTTGTGTGGAGAATCTGGGGGTTTCCACTAACATTTTATGATTGGGGAAAATTAATTTAACCTCTGCCTTTATTATATTCCTTACTTCGCAGGTTCTTCTTACTATGAATACCAGTGCTTCAGAAAGTGTAATACAGCATATAAATTAAAGAACCACGCCACCATCTCAAAATTGTTTTGTGGCATTAAAAACATGGATTTAATGAATTCTGCTGAACTGGTTTGTCATTATTCCATTCTCCCCTTTTAACTTAAAACATCTGTCTGTGATATGTTGAGGTAATGCTACTTTTAGTAGACTTAAACACAGAGAGTGTGTGAACACATCTCCAATTTTCCATTAGTACATGAAGAATAAAGGATATCCAAAGAAGACACTTTGCCCTATAAAGAGGGGGGAAACGTGTCCTTAAATAACATATTATATCAGTTTTTGTGGAAATAGCTACAGAAAATTGTCTATATACCTTGGCTCTTTTGAAGTTTGACGAAATTAATGATTGATATCTTCTAGACTTTCCACTATGCTATCCCCAGTGTGTCTGTTTGCCCTGATTAATATTTTACCTCCTGTGGGTCAAAGATGACTGTTCCTTGTATCTGTGCAGAGATTAATAATTGATTTGTTTACAGTCATGGGTCTTAGTAAAAGGGAACTGGTAACTTTTGGTTGTCATCTTTTATTTGGTGACCTGCAGTGACAGAAGTGGCTGCGCCCTAGTGGAGAAATGAAGACAGTCTTGGTTCTGCTGCTCACTGTAGCACTGGGGCATGCATTAGAGAGAGGTAAGGTTTCTCCTGTTGTGACCATTCATGAGAATTCTTACTAATTTAATTTTCTATCACCATATGAAAAACTTGTACAAAAGGGAAACAACAAAAGAATTGGTGAATATGTTGAAAGAAAGAAAGAAAAGTCAAAAAGGGATTAATCTGAGCTCAACTATACCATATGAATCTCAGGAAAGAAAGAAAATATAGTTTGCCAATTATTCCTATTTTTGATATATAAGACCTGAAGAAATGCATTAACTTTCTTTTTTTTAATTCTTTTATTGGTACATTTTAGGTATACAATACATTTACGTTTAGCATTGGGTGCTTGTACCTGTACATGATGTATCTTAGTTCTTATTTTTTCCCCATTACCTGTGCACCCTTCACCCCCTCCACCCTTTCCTATTTACATAGACTTTGTTTCCATTTTTTTCTTTTCTCATAATTTTTCCTTTCCCTTCTTCCCTTTCCCCTTCCCCTCCCACCACCCCTACAGGTACCTTTGTACCTTTTCCTATTTCATATTATGAATTATTCATTTTAACCCTTATTTTCACTTTCAGTTTCTCACACTAGAGAAACTATTCTGTATTTACACATGTGTGTCCTATTTATTTCACTTAAGAGTATGGCCTCAATATGCATCCATTTAGCTATAAATGTCTCTAGTTTCTCATTTTTATGGAAACCACCAACAGAGCTAAGAGACAACCTACAATGTGGGAAAAAAAATTTTAGCAGCTGTAACTCATACAAAGGTCTACTATCTAGAATATATAAAGAATTGAAAAAAATCAGACCCCCCCAAATTCAAAGGCCCAATTCAAAATTGGGCATTAACTTTCAGAAGATAATGCACTGGAGGCTGATTTATCAGTAAACATTTTCAGACTTCAAATATTTATCCCAATTAAGAGTCCAATTTTCTTTGTCAATGATGCAAAAGGCAACTGAGAGATTTCTTTCCTTCTCCTCAAGGAATCCTATACATGCAGTATTTGAGGTTTTTGTTACTGTTGTTTGTGTTTTTTTGTTGTTGTTGTTATTTTATGCAATATTTGAAAATGCCTTAATGGTTTTTCAAATATTTGCCACGTACAATCAATTATTTTTCTATAACTGTGAAACAGAACCACATAAAAGATAATTGAGTTATGTTTTTCATTGAAATTGTTCTTCAAATTGTTCTTTGTTTCCATTTTTTCTTCTCATAATTTTTCCTTTCCCTTCTTTCCTTTCCCATTCCCCTCCCACTTTCCCTACCCCTTTGGACCTTTTCTTCCTATTTCAAATTATCAATTATTCATTTTAATCCTTATTTACATCATATAAACTGTTTGCATCATTTCAAAAAGGCTTTAAACTATTTAGCTGCATGGACACTAAATAGTTTAAAGCCTTTTTGAAATGATGCAAATAGATTATGTGATATATATAACTTTATGAATTCTGCAGCTGTCAACTTCCCCTATCAGTTTCAATTTACTTTTCTGACTGATTTTTTAATGTGTATAATGGAATCTGCATTCATGCTGCCCTATAAAATTAAAATTTTCATGTAGTTCTGTCAATTAACAGCTTCACCTGAATCATATATTTACATTTGTGTTAGCAAAGGAATAAAATATTATGTTCCTGGGAATTATCATTCATTAACCATGATCTGAAAAATATTTCTCTTGACTTTATCTCATTCATTTTATATTTACTTTACCTTGATGTTACTTTTGTCATCCAAATTATTTTAAATTTTACCTTACTCATCCATAGATTCCAAAGTAGGCTACTAGTCCTTAGGAAAGACTACATAATCTGAGACAAAATGAAAAATTAAAGAAGTAAAATGCTTTGTATAGGCCAAATCTCAAGAAACCCTGAAAGCTTACTCTTTTGCCTCAGATTTCCCTGGGGGCAGATCTGACCCTGAAAATCCCTCTGAGGGCTGATCCAGACCAGGATCTACAAATGCAAAGGCCCAGAAGTGGCTTGGTGTTGGAAATACACATAGGACAGTAATTTGGGACATGAGTCACAATTTGGATGACTGACTCTGTAGGTGTACACCGGTTCCACCTCCGCATTACTAGTGTCCTTGGAGTTCCAAATGAAATAGACACCAAAAACCTCAGCAGTTCCCTTATAAGTTCTGAACTTAGTCTTCTTACCCAGGCTTTCATAAGTCAAATGATATCCTTCTTATTCATTCATTTTAACAAAAGTAGAATGCAATCTTCAGGAAATTAAGGACTTTATTTTTATTCCCCATTGTAACTTCTAGTTTTAGACTACTACTTGACATTTAATGAGTGTTTGATGGTTGTGTAATATCACAAAACTAGAGTACCAACCTCAGAAAGTAGTTTTGGGCATTAAAATTGTGTCAGTGAAGCTACATAAGGGATATCTTGGAAGGGATAAACTCTTTGTAGGAGTTTATCGTCATTATTTGTATTATTCTCATCATATAAATTTTCCACTATGGAGCACTGCCACCAAAGTTTGTGCTCTGTAAATAAATTATTAGCTAATATTTTATTTACAATGCCAGCATGCTTAAAATCTTTTGAATAAATTGATTTTATTCTTACAGTATCATAATGAGCTCAGTACTGTATTCCCCAATTTACAGATGAGGAAACTGAGGAATAGAAAGCTAGTCCCACAGAGCCAAAGTCGATGCTCTCAATCACTAATGTTGCTTCTCTCATGAAATAAATACTTTAAATACAATGCTTTCCTAAACTAAGAACATATATAAGATCAGAACAAGCAATCACTAACATCAATTGAATTGGGATGACTAGTGAAATTCATCTGCCTACTGTGTGTATCCGTAACTTGTCCAAACTCTGCCATCATTCCAGCACTGACTCCTAACCGCTCTACGTACTTTCCTGGCACTGTCACATCTGAACTGTTTCCTCAATTCTTGGACATTATTTGATTCAGTTTTATTTCCTACATTCAGTCATTCCTATATTCTGTACCTTTAGCTGTGAAAATGATCAGCATTGTACAGAGTATTCTATTGCAGAAACCTGCACAGTACTCTGTTTCCATTAGTCTCTCTCCTTTTCCTCCTATACAGAACTAGTTATTAAAGTGTGGGCACTGCCTTTCCTACCTCTGCCAGTGGGATTTCCATATACTGGTCCTATCCAGACCTGTTTCCTCCTTTGCCTGGCCATTGTAATTGGCTCTCTAACCAACTCCTTACCTCCAACACTGCCCCAATCATTCATACTGAGAAAATATAATAAAATCTTCTTATAATGCACCGAGTCCAAAAATAAATTAGGTACTTAGAATTCAGGGCACTATTGTGACAGTAATGAAGTGGTGGGGTTGAGCATGTGGACCTGGCTGGTGGGGACTCTGGGGACTGGGGTACCTCATTTAAACCTACTGTAACTGTGCCCTCTGTTTGGAGTCACCTAATCATAGGTTGACTGAAGTTTGAACATGAATGGACAAAACAAAGCCCCCTACCCCAAAAGGTGTGTGCATCCTAGTGCAGGGAAACTGAATAGATCTGATTACATCACAAAGGGGGAATTAACATTATAGATTTAATAAAAGTTGCTAATTGGCTGAAATTAAAAAGAATGCTAGTTTATCTGTGTGGAATAATCTCAAGGTTGGTTAAAGGTGGAAGAGGGAAGTAGAGGAGAGCCAGGAAAGTTGTGACTAAAGAAAAGAGACAAAGACAATTGCAAAATTGCTCCCTTTGAAGATAGAGGAAGGTGCCTTGGAGCCATGTTAGATAGACCTCTTCTAAAAGTAGCCCTTCTAAAACCAAGCAAACAGATTTTCCTCCAGAACCTCAGCCCTGCTGATAACTTGAAGAATTTTAGGCCAGAAAGACCCATGAAAAATAGAAGAGTAAGGAAATATGTGTGAGGTTTAAGTCTCCTTATTTGTGGCAATAAATTATAACTGCCATAGAAATCCAGTCCAGTATGTTTCTGGGTCTGGAAACTTCCAGAATGAACGGGCCGGTGAGCCGTGGTGCAGCCCTTTTATTGGACTACCATTTCCTCACCAGATCCAAGGAGATTTGGACTAGGTTCATGTTAACTCTTCCTTGCTTCCTGGGGGTCTTCTGTTTTTTACCTTCTCTTTTATATTGGACTAAACAGAAAACAAGAATTTAGTCCAATACCTAAGAGAAGCACTGGAGCATATCGCATGATATGATATTAACATATTTTCAATTATTGGATTTTAATGTAAAAAATATTGCTAATATTCACTGACAATTTATCATGTGTTAGAGACTGAATGTTTGTGTCTCTCGGGGTTCATATGCTGAAGCTTCCAGTGTGATGGTGCTCCTTGAAAGTGAGGCTTTCAAAGGTTGAACACTATAATGGAATTAATGTCCTTATTAAGGGAGGGGGTGGGAGAAGAAGAAGGACAGGAGGAGGGGAGAGGAGAGAAGGAGAGAAAGGGAGAAGAGATGACAGGAAGGGAAGAGAGAAGAAGAAGAGAGATGAAAATCTCTTTCTTTACACACATAACCAAAGAATCTCCTTTGATGACATAAGATGTCCCCCCCAAAATTTGTGACCATGCTGGCACCGTGATGTCAAACCTCCAGTCTCTCGGTCCATGACAAATAAAATGTCTAAATTACACAGTCTATGGTAGTTTGTCATTTCTGCCTGAAGACACCATGTTAGGCAGGAAATAGGTGACCAGTTTTACACAGGTTAACATTTTCATAGAATAGCTTATAATTCCAGGAGTCTTTTGGTGGACTTTTTCGGTCTTGTAGGATAAGATTACGTCATTTGTATATAATGATATTTTGACTTTGTCCTATCCTATACTTCCACCTCTTATTTCTTTCTCTTTCCTAATTGCTCTGGCTAATATTTCAAGAACTATATTGAACAGGAGAGATGATAGCAGACATTTTTGTCTTATTCCTGATTTTAGGAGGGAAGCTTTCAGTTTTCCCTGCCTTAATATGATGTTGGCAGTAGGTTGGTCATAAATGGGTTTTA